TTCATTTTTTTTTTTATTTTGGAAGACTTTATAGTTTAGACTAAAACTGATTGAACCAGAAAAACACACCCACCCCTTGAAGCACATATCGTTCTTAGAACGTTTACGGAACCTTCAGAGGACCAAAAGAACGTTCTCAGCACGTTGTCTGAATGTTTGGTGCTACAAGGGACTATGTCCTAGACTACCTGCGAAATTGATTGTGTTTATGTTTGTAACATTTCTCTTCGGTCAAGGAGATACCTCAATCTTTTCAAAAACGAATATATAATCAGGCATCATAAAATTTCATTATTTTTCAATTACAAATGGAACTATGACGAGCCAGTAAGCCAAATGACACCTGCCAACTTAAAACTTACAGGAAAAAATGTCAGAGTGACTAAATTGTCGTAAAAATTAAAAGAATCATTTGACGTCAAATTGATGATCTATCACCAATTTATATATTTTTATATTTTTGACCTGTCTCCGTCACTTGGGCAGAGCAAAAGCAACGAGGCAAAGCAAGTTTAGTAGCAAGCCCTGTATCGTTCAAAGACTAGAATGCAAAAGTGTTCCCTTGAGTTAGATTACAAAGTATTAGTAAAGTTAAATTGTAGAATTTATGAGCACAGTAAATTAATATTCTAGTGGTCAACGACTAGTATAAGATTTTCATTGTGGAGTTATTATCAATGCCACCACACATGACTTTCAATAATGACGCCCACTGCTTCGACACAAACTATGAAGGCACATTTTATGTTTACCTGCAAATATTTCTCATTTACGTTTTGCACATACTGAGTTCACAATGATTTCAGGCTCTAAAATATTATCTTCGGTTGTCAATAAAAAAAAAAACAGTACCCGTGTTCATGACCCGTGTTCATGGTTTCCTGAAATGTTACCCTCTGTTTTGTTGGGAGAAAATATATTATGTAGTTGAGCATAATATTAATTTAGAACATTTCGCTAATTCATCTAGAGGACTTGTGATACTTTCTTTAAAGAGGAAAGTAACTCGGATAACTTTATCACTTTGTTTTCATCATGTAGGAATTACTTTAAATTAAAAAATGGTTTATCACAACTCTGAATTTTAATTCCAACGTATAATCACGTCGCTTGCAGGTTGTTACATTTCAGACAGCCTAACTCCAACAGGAAAACTGGGAAAATAATCCAAGTAAACAAGAAGTAAACGAGTTGTTGTGATGTGATCCACGGTCCACCATTCCGCGTTCGTTTAATTTTTCATAAGCGTAGAGGAGAATGTACTTTACCCCCCACCACCACGTTTGGGGCCAGCCCCATGTTGGTTCGAGTGTGGGTCTGGGGCCACGACGAGACGTTCTTCCAAATTAAACCCAGAGCAAGAGCAAACGAAGAAGGAAAGGAGGAAGTGTCGAAACCGGACCGGAACCAGATCTGGACCTAGAACAAATTTGCATCGAATACGATGGTCTTGACACGCTTTGAGGGGAAATGACAGCTACTAATCATTCTGTTTAAAATGTGACTGCAACCGGTCCAGGTCCAAAATTTTCTTCAGTTTCACTAGGCTAGTTGCCGCTCCTAGCCATTATGAAAAGTTCAGCGTTACGTTAAGTCGAACCCCACCGCTGCCGCCGGAAGCGGTAAATAGTAGGAAAGCCGGAAAGCGCGGGAAACTTCCTTGTTTTCTTGTTTTTGTTGATGTTGTTGTTGGCCAGGGCAGGACAGAACCTGTGTTAAAGTGCGTTTTCTAAAGGAACACTCTAGTGCTATTGGTTATTTTATTGTTTAGAGTGATGTGTGTCGTGTCACCACCGTGTATGCGAGCCAGCAGCAGACCGATTCAAGATTACGTGATGACAACTGAGGCTGAGGAAATGAGGATTTACCCGACCTGTAAGTACGATAAAGAAACAGCAATGTAATTTGAAGTGATTATGTGGTACAGTACTGTACATGTAGAAAGTGAGACCAGTTTTCATCATCATCTATTAGAACTTGGATCCTCTAGGAACATTCGCCACTGTGTGCCTTTATCCTTTATTGTCTTGTCACCTCGCACTGTTTGTTTACCCCGGTCTATTATTTACCTTTGGTTTTCTTTACACTTAAATGGTCGATGTAGTCCCGTAAAAGCTGGTGAAGTTGAAGCCACGCCGTATTAATCTGATTGGTTATCAATCAACTAACCAGTGCACTCCAAACAAATGACGGGATAACTTCCCTGGCCTCGTAAAACTAAATTGACCATGTGATCTATCTTATTTTGTCGCATGTGGGATAGAAGAAGGAAGAAACCTAATATATAAAAAGGGTCAAGAAACAATTTTTGCTGCAAAGTAAACCTAGCTGATTTGGACGTCTATTTTGATTAATCAGTGAACTACTGGACATATAGTGTGCCAAGACTATACTTGGTGAGCAAAATTGTCAATAGTCCAGAAGGGGATAAGTCAACTTCAACTTTTCTAAGCTTCTGTTTCTAAAGAATCAAGTTCACTTCACTATCATTTTGTCCCTCACTTGAAATTTAAAGTTGAGTAATGACTGAAGCAGAACAGGGTCACAAATCTAAAGTCATTTTGGGGCCATTGATGTGGATTAAATGTCAATTATCATATTGATGTACCTGCAACTTGTTCCATGACTTCCTTCTCCCTTGGGTTGAGTAAACAGCTATATAAGAAGATTAAAATGTTGAGTCCCAGAGCAAATTAGAGGGGTGGTAGTTTCCAGCAAAACCTGACCACCAGGTGGCCAACGGCCACGTGGGACTCAAGATGATATGCCCTGGATATATTTTGTCCAAATGACGTCAGGTGAAGTCAAAAGTAAAATTTTGTCATTTTGGTGGCCACCAACTCCAACAGGATACCTTAATTTTGTTCCATAAAAATTAAAATATTAATAAAATGTATCGGAGTAGCGACCACACCCTCAACGACGTGGGGTAGTCCCGCCCGCTCGGACACATTGCGAGGAGTAGAGTCCACTTGCGAGCTGCTCAGCCCCGCTCTGTTTCCCGCTCGAGCAGCCTTTAGCCCCCTCCCTCTCCCCTGCGTCGTTCGGTCCATTGATTCGAAGAAAGAGAAGATCTAGATCTAGTGTGTGTAGCACGTGAAAAAGAAACGATGCGTAGTCAGCGGGAAGTCAGTAACGTCACGGTGCAAGTAGCAATGTTTAGCTGCGGTAACGTGGGCAGCTCCCTCCCACCCGTGTACACCCGTGTCGGCAGAGCGAGATGGGCGAACGCCGTTTTGAACGCAGCCTAGAATGCTTCTGTGCCAGCGTCTGCCCCCCCCCCTTTTTCCCTCCACCCCCACTTTTCCTCTCCCCCTCTGAGGAGGATGTTGTCGGCTCGTCCCAAGCCGTCAGTTCTAGGGTGAGCGTCCATCCCCGAACATCTCCCGCCGAAACCGACCGACCGAACGAAAAGAAAAAAATAACTAAAAATAAAAAAAACGAAACAAAACAAACGAAGACAAATAATCGACCGAAAGCGTGAATTAATTGACAGTGATGTGCTATAGTTCCCCTAAAAGTGCGAACTCCTTATCCCCCCCAAAGGGACATTATTAAGTATTCGTTTGACCAGATAGATTCGGACCACGTGAGTTTGACTCGAATATCAACCAACTTGTGTAGGATTATAACTGGATCCGACTGAAAAAGGTAATTATCTATCAAGTGTAATCAAGGTTAGTGGTTCTTAGAAATTAATGTATCGATCTAGAATAGGTTTAATTTATAACTTACCATACTCTTTTAATGAACCCTGACTTCGCGCCTCCATGATTCACTTTCGAGGGCTGAGGTGACACTAGGGAACGCTTGGAGCAGCTCTTGACACTCCAGCACTGGGGTACTGGGACGCCCCAGGGTGGGCCACCAGCTGCGCACAGCTGCTTGACAGGCTAGCCGACCCAACGTATTGCAGGCGTTGTCATTGGCACTTTGCGTAGCCAAAACTTCGGTGCCGGTGAACTTACTCCGGCATCGTTGGGGTGATGACAAAATTCGAAAGACTTTGCTCGCGGGCCATGGCCAGGCTGTATCCAGATACGATATGATGACAAAGTCAGCGACTGAGCGGGAGGGTGGGTGGGGGTATGGGTCCTGGGCGGTTGAATAGGCTAACTGCTTTCAATCAGAGGAGCGCGGATCGGATCGCCGCAGCGGACACGGCGAGTGAAGAGGCGTTGGGGGAATCCTAAGACTTTTCCTTGCCAGTTATATGTTTTGACCTTGTCCGCATTATCCCTTATTGAGCTATACCATCGTATCGTGCACAAAGTGAGGAATGAGTTTCTTGTCGATACCGATACTACATCGACAAATCATTCCTCACGCGATGAACGCATCGATTGGGGCTGTAACTTCCTTCTTTCAAATGTCCCGCCCCTTGTGTCGCGCGCATGGTTACCCCCTTGACGATGACTAGTCTGAGTGCATCTGGTGCGTTGGGTGCTGTCCAAGC